ACTTTTCCAAATACGTGCCTCACGCTAGTTACATCGGGTCGAGTAGGTAGGAACGCATTCACCATGATCCTAAGACCATGTATTAAGGGAAAACCTTCGTGGGAAAACCTCAATAATTCCTCATGTACTCTTTCACGACGAGCAGCCGTAGTCCCCCCTTAAACAGGCCGTGTAGGAATCTAACCTACCACTACTAGAAAGCACATCCAGCACCCGACCAACTGTGCCAACAGCCTGTTGAAAATCACATATCGTTCATCCCAAATTCTCCCCTGCATTGCACTCAACCCCCATTTGAAAGGGCTGAAATTCCGAAATCGAGAGCTCAAAACTGAGGCATCGGTGCCCCAGCTTTTGTCGTACATTGTTCGTTGTCTGAGTGAGGCTTCTTCGTTCGCGCCGTCTTTAGAATGTGTCGAAAAGTTTATAATGTTGATGTCGTGGTCGAGGTGCTTGTCTAAAATGAGGCCGAGCAATTGCCCAGTCATGCACACAATATTAGTAAGGTTGAAAGTGAAAGGAATTTTACCTTTGATTTTGGATGGTCCCTCTCCTGGATTTTAACTTTGATTAAATTTAACGTTTTGCCTGTGCACAGCTCGTGACTACTATCATGAACTGGTTGGCCCAGTCCCTATAGAGCTACCCGACCCTCTAGCGTGCAATACTGCACCCAAAAACTACAGAGTCCAACCAGCTATCCGCCACTCTGATTTCCAATTTGAATGTAGCAAATCTCCCTTTACCAGGAAATTTACATATTCTTCGGGTAATTTTATTTAGACCGGGTAAACCGGTGCGTGAGAAGCTCACGTGCTGTGCACGAGCACGACGTTAAATAAATATTCTCGATTACTGTGACATGCAGTTCCCATTTACACGTCCATGAGGACGGATGGCCATGATGTAGGGAAGAGCTTTTACGCAACAAAACCCGTTGTCCCGCCGCAAGCACACATTCCAGCTTTATGTCGAGAGCGTCTGTCTAAGTTTCCATTATAGATTTATTTGACCTTGAACTCCGTCAACTTCTTTGTAAAACAGTTATCCCAGGAAAAAATCGTGAACTGAATGGATTATTTTTCCGACTTGGTGGCGCAGATGCCGCAATTTCTTTCGGTGCTTTATCAACTTTCTGTGGTCGCCCTGGCCCCTTTCTCGGCGCTCCTGTACTCTTGCTGGTTACTGTTATGAAGCCTTCCTTACCCACCGCTTTTGGATCGCCTATTGGTCTATGTGTCAGACCGACTGAGATCTCCTGACGGATATCTGCTGTTCGTCCTAAAAGCTCGATGCGGGCCGATTCTACACTTCCTCTTTAGACCGCGAAAGTCTTGCATGCCATCTTTTGCCACGACCTGTGAGCTATCTCAGTTGCAGCAATAAATTTTGTTCCTTTTGCAGTCCCGAGTTTGGTGGTTTCCTGCACACTGCTTATATCTTGCTGCCTTTTCGTAGGGCGCCTTGGTATGGCCCCATAGGTTGCAGTTATATAACAGCTTGACTTGGGCCCTAGGTGACCAGAGCTGCGCCGTGAAAAGCATAACGTTCAGGACAATAGCGGTTTTTACCACATCCCTCTGAAGGATCTCAGTTGGAAGACATGACAGAGCCCCTGGTGTGACCATTTTTCTTGGCCCTGTGGTGCTCCTTACCATCATGAAGTTGTGGAATTCGATTTATCTGCAGTTTGGGATCCTTACTTTTGTCGCCCATTTTATTTCCTCAATCAGACCTTCGTTGTTCGTGTTTTTCCCTCCTATTATATTAGTGCTAAGTGGCACTACGATAACTTCCACTAGATAATTTTGCTTTCAAATCCTGAATCCCTCTAGCTGAACCGAATTTAAAGCCGCTGATTGTTAGAAAACCTCGGTATTGTTATTCCTCATTTGCTTTTCGGCGGATTCTCCTGATATATAATCTTGGACCTTTCTTAGAAGCTGCCCTGGCTTCGACTTATCTGCACCATCCACCTTTATTCTAACCGCTACTTTCGATATCGTTGGTGCCACGGTGCAAGCGTATGATGGCCGACTCACTGGGCTAAGCGAGGATATTGGAGCTGCCTTACTGACGAGCTCGGAACTTTTTGTACCACCTTTTCCAAGGTCAGCATCCTTTCCTCGATCAGTTTCTGTTTCATTAGGCTCTCAACCGTACCGAAATGTTCATTAAGTGCGCTTATCACACCCTCTACTCCCAAGACAGATGGCGATCCATCCTGCGCATCCAGTTTCCTGAGATTATCTCTCGCGCCTGTCAATTAAGACCTGATAATTGTGATATTAAGCCATTCTTCCTCCTGAGGAAACTCAACACTTCTACTGGATGAATCTGCCACCTCCCATTTTCCTTTGTCGATGTCCATTGTTGTCGCTGATTGCGACGCGTCAAAACCTCGAAAACTCTGCAGACCAATGCCCACCCACAACATGCCGTATTTCGGGACTTATGAATCGCTGTGTGAGGTTATTTAATGTGAAGAATGTGATGAAGATAAAAATTAAGATATGAAAACGTTCGCGGAACGTTTGTGTAGCGTTTTTCCAAATGATATGTTCCCACGGCGTTAAAGACTGAAAGTAAATGAATAGCACGGATTGACCGTAATATTCGCCAATTTCTACGGATTAATGATTGCGTTCTCATCATTCTCTTTCATTGGTAATTTTGTGTATATTTACGTGACTCTATGCACGACTTCTTGTATGAAAGCCCCGTAATTACTTCATCTATTATAATTAAATCTCTATTCATCTCATCGAAATCCGATATTTTTGTCCTAATTATTGACGTGTAAAACAGTTTGGCTACTAACTTTTGTAGCGGTTTTAAGATGTGGTTTATGCTGGTTATTCTTTTCCCTAAACTTGACAGATATCTGGCCCTGATTTTCAATCTCTTTTATCTTACTGCGTACTGTTTCAAGAGCTTGCTTTCTCGGAAATTTTTGAGGTAGCTGTTTTTGTGGTGTTCTAGACACAATCTGTACAGAATCTGGGTGATGAGAAATTTCATTTAACAGGCATGTTGGCAATCTTAATCCTGTACCGCAATGTATCGAAGGGTGGTGGTGTTTATGGTCGTATACACTTGGTATCTTCAGTTGAATGGTTTAGACTATTTAGGGTGCTAAGAATATACATGGGTGATTATGGCAATAAATGTTATGGGATGCGAATGGTATCTTATTGTGTTTATTTGGTATCGTAAAAATTATTTACATGATAATTAACCAATTCCCACATACTTCCAGATAGCGCCGTAGCTCGTCTCTTCTAGGAGTCGTCTACGGGTGAGTATAGCGATCGGTGGTTTCTGATTTATCACTAACCTGTTTCCATTTCCCTAGCTCTGCATACCACACTTAGTGTATGACAATTTACTACTCATGTGAAAAGCGCAATTATAACACAATGAAGATGAATAAGTGTGCAAATCAAAAGGCAGGATACCTAGCTTTCTCTCTTGAGTTGCTTTCGGTGTACTTTTACAGGTCTCCGATATCATCTACAAGCACTTGTTCAGTAATTTCTTTAATTTTCCCGTGAGAAGCCTTGTCGCGGGAGATGCATCGCAGCCTACGCCCTAGATTTGTGATACATAGAGCATCATAGATCTTGTTACTGTATGGGGACAAGAATCACGGACGCTGTACGCAAAGGCTGCCACAAAATTGTCAACATTTTTCGATGTGAGACGAGGTTCCAGAGATTGTGACATAGCTAGATAACTGCATACGCAATTAAAATCCGATGCAAAAAAAAGACGGCTCCAATAGGACTGTACCGATACATAGTTTGTCCTAATGACCCACTTACATGAGCGCTTACTATGGGTCTTGCCCTGTGCAACAGGAAGATACATTTGCCGAATACCACCATTTGTTTATCATTTATTGTGTATTAGGTTATCCAGCCATGACCCACAATCTGAGCTATGTATGTATGTTGTATGCCTCTTTTGACTTTAGTGAAAATCATACTCTAGATTTTATTTGCAAGTATAACTATGAGGTATGTTTGCTTACACAAACAACCAACCCTCCTCCGTAAGTACCCACCAAAGGAAAATTCAAAACCTCTGATTATCCAAGCATGCCTTCGTCATTCATGTGCACCAGCGCCGCGAGATATGTGGTTGTGTTTTGCCGGATTATAACCAGCGATCTTCTATCTCAAGTAGGACATGTGTCGAAGCTATCCAGACTCTACTTGACAGACCGGCCAAGATGATATACCACCGCGCCATCCAACAGCGGCGATATTTGCAATATCGCCTATACTCTCGCAATCGAAGTCTTGGCACGCAAAAAGCTCAATTTGTAAAAACTCCTTGCCAAATTTCAAAATTCCACGCCCGTCGAGACTGTATCTATCCTTCGCATCATCTTGTGAACTTGTCCTGAATCCTCTAACGTCCATCCCAAAGAACTGTCTCCCAGATTTGTGCGCCACGCTTTGTTTCCTCCGTCGGGTGTAAATATCGGCGTTGGCGTGTATTTGGTGACCGGCTGAGGCCAGCGAAAGTCGACGAGAGGTGTGATCATTGGAATGAGGATGTACTAGGTCATACTTGTAGACTTTATGAGACATAAGCAGGAATCAAACTCGTTGGGTGTGAAAGGTTGATATATTGGAGTATCTTGAATAATTGCCTCGTGGGCCAACTTCTTTGATATTGCGAAATTTGACTGGGCATGGCTTTGGGAGAAAGTTTCATTCCCAGGCTTATGGAGGGCACTGCGAATAGGTATTCAGTCTTTGCCCTCCGTACGGCATGCCTGTATCTTCATAACCGTAATTTCCATAAAGCCCAGCACTATAAGTATTAAATTCATGGATAGGGCATGAAGGCTCGCTAGTTTTTACAAGCCCATCATTCATAGCCCCTCATCAATCTCCAACTCATCGTCGACAACTACACGGAAAATAATAAAGCACCATCGCTTACACTTCTTAACTTTAATATCTTGCTCGGCATCTCTGACACGAACCATGTCACTTTTACAGACAATAACTCTTTCGCACACGCCGTCTAGTCATAGTGTGCATGTTGCTCTCTATCGGAATGTGAAAAATTCGGCCTTCCTTGAACAACAGTTGCTCGGAGGAAACAGCGACTATGAGTACGCCTTTATAGACGCACGTGTGGTACGTTACAAGCTGGGATACGAGAAAAATAGATGATGGCAAAAATGTGCAAGGGAAAATGTGGAGATAGGGAATATGGAAGCAATCAAAGAGTGTAATGGCTACCATTGCTAATGCATGTCATGCTTCTGCTCCAACCAGATCTTATCAAAAGTTCACGTTTTCGCGTCCTGCTTCCGGGCCATTGTTGATCAGCTCTCCGACAAGCTGCGCACGCGAAATGTGCACTCGGAGATAGTATTCGCCTTATCCCCGAATAATAATGTACGTTTCATAGCTATTATTGTAGATTCGCCTATAACCTAACGATCTCTCTCCCACCAGATCAGAACGGCATTTCGAAATTTCGGTATAACAGCGAATACTAGTAGCCTGCTAGTAATAAAAATTGGCGATTTGACTCAATCTTTGTCTATTCGAAGTCACCTCGAGAAGGTTATTGAAGGAGATGAAATTGGGTTTTGTGATTCGGCACTCGCAGATATAATAGACTGGTCATTAGTCGGTCGGCTATACAAACTCGGTAATACGCGACAGGATGAAGGTGGTAACAGAAAATGGCAGTGGGAAGCAGAGGTAGATAGGAAAGAAGCAGAAATGCGTGTCTTGAGTTCGATAGCGCTCAGGGGAATGACAAATTGATTGTTGAGTTGAAGAGAAAGAGTGTGAACCTAATTGTGAAACACTGAATTTGAGGAAGATCAAGTTGACAAGTAAAAGTGATAGATAATTGGCTGGTCTTCCTTTAAATATTTGGAGATAAAATTACTTATACATTTCAAGTATTTAGTAAAATACAACAGGCCAAATTTTGACTTTTATGGCCCTTGTTGAAAACCAAACACTAGTGTGTGAAAGTTGCAAGATATAAAATTGCATGTAAATTGTACCCATTTTACATTTTTATGAGGAATTTACATCATTTGTTGCCGCCCTTCATAAATCTTGAGGTTGCAATTGAGAGTCTACAAAGTCACGCACCAACTATATAGTGATCATAACCCAGCTAAGTTTCTCCTTCAGCCAGCTAGGAAAGAAGGTTCTTTTGATATCTAGTCTTGAATAAAATTGACAAACAAATCTTGAACAGTTAACAACAGGGTTTTTTTTAAATCATTTAATGTGTATGCAGCTAGAAAGCTATAAGACATGACGGGTGCTATGTATACATGTTGGTTGGCTCTTTTGACGTTAAAGACACTCATACTCTGGATTTTATTCGCAAGTACCACTATGGGGTATATTTGCCTACATAAGCAGTCGAGCCTCCTGAGTGTACATCCAAGGAACGGATGCTTCATAACCGTTGATTATCCAAACATGCTCCCGCCATCCATGCACAACAGCATCGTGAGTAATATTTTCGAGTTTTATTGGATTCGGACCATCTATTTCCTATCTCAAGTAGGCTATGTTTCCGAGCTTACTTGAGAGACTGAACTAGATGACGCGCCACCGCACCGTCTAGCCATTGTTGCTTTAACAGTGTCGTCTGCACTCTCGCATACCAAGTCATCGAGCGCACAACACTCTTCGATTTGTAATATTAATTTTTTGAATTTGAGAGGTTATCCGTTCTCAACATGATCCTGCCTATCTATCATTTTTTCTCTTACTTCCAACTCCGAAGGTCCGTCCGGCCATATTTGTGCGCCACAGACCTTGCCACCCGTCGGGAATTCAAATTATCAGGGGCGTGTATATAGAGACCAGCAAAGGCCACAGACTGAGTTTTCGAGAGGTGTAGTTCATGAAATGAGAACATCCTATGTAGTACTTGTAGAATAGGTGAATCTTTAGATGGATGCGATCTTGTTAGGAACTAAAACTTGTTGTGATCGTGAGACATGAAATATTGCCTCGAGAACCAACTTCTTCGGTACTGTGAAATTTGGTCCATATCGGCACTGAAAAAAAATATTCAATACCGGGCTCATACGAAACACTGCTGGTAGGTATTCAAGGTTAAATCTCCAACGTAGTGTGTTATTCGGGCTGGCCTCCCCGGCATGTTCTGGGCTGCCTGATCCCTGCCCACGTGGAAACGGGTGATCGCCTTTTCGAGCCTAGCTAGCTCCGATGACTATCGCGTAGCTCCTTGATAAAAATGGTGCTGCACGCATTCTAGGGTAGTAGGAGGCTTTGAACAGCTTCCTCAAGCGGGTACACAAGGTACAGTCAAACCCCTGTTAAGACGATGTAATCGGGGCCGTGAAAAATATCGTCATACAGAGGCTATCGTTGCTCTACAGAAATTCCCTTTGTTGGCGGCATTAATAGCACCAAACTAGCAAAAAAACCCTGGTCAAGACGATATTCAGAGGTTGAAGAACGATAATCGTGTAATCGGTAAATGTATGGGAACGGAGTCCGTTCTGGAAAAAAAACATCGTATTAACGGCAATATCGTCTTAACAGGGGTTCGACTGTAGTGGGTCGGGTGGAAGCCCCTGTAGATAAGCCCTATCGGCGTTAATACAAAATGCAAGCCATTACTTGTGGCGAAACCCAATATTGATTGCTCTTTCACATCAAAATTTGGAGAGGCAGGTTATAACTAGCCTAATATTTTATTCGTTAGTCTCGAGATGCGGCATCATTTACGTAGCTAGAATCTGAAAATTTTGCTCATAGCTGTGGCTCCTAGAACGAGTATGCTCCTGCTACCGTAGAACATTTTATTTGTGCGAGACCATGGACTAGAAGTCAATAAAGCCCCGTGATGTGGAAAATACTCTATGTCCATACAATAGATTTAACAAACCTATGGCCTCGCATGAAACACTTTCTATGGTAATCCCCTTGAACGAACGGCAAGTTTGATAATCAACAGTAAGCATTAAAATTTATGTAATTGTCTGAATTTATTTTGAGCTTGAATTATAAAATTATAATAGGGTTTTACAGTTCATTATGTCATATCATAAACTTCGTACATGAATTACCGACATGGACGGGACTTATTACTTACTCGATTTTCGCATAACCTTGTCAATAAAATTCCAAAATAACCACACAGCTAGTATACTGCGTTTGAGGCCTTTTTTCCTCGAGCGAGGCTTTCGAACCGCCTCCTCAAACCATCGCTAACCCATTGGCCAGTAGATAAACCCCTCCTGCGGCTTACGTGATTCTCGGGGTTTGCGGTGAGATCCCACGCGGGTCTAGATTCATGGTTGCGTGGATTTGAGCCACTGGTACTTCGTTGGTGATAGGTTGGATGCCTCAGCGGCATTAATTCGTAACTGTTTGGATTCGCAGAAACTGTTCGCCTCGGCTTGTGTTCGCTTTTATGCTTTTTTAGGGTCTTCTCAATGGTGTAAGAGGGCTCGCCCTTGCCCTTAAGATCATCGGAATGGTATTTCTAGGTTGGTTAGATCATTAGAGAGAGTGCTGTCATGTAATGCTCACCACATTAGCCCATCTTCTGTAAGCTCCCCCTTCAGCGTCATACTCCCTCATCAAGTCGGCACCCTCTTGGTACTTCATAACTTTTCCATCATATCCTGGCATTCCGGGTGGGATTGTGGCGGTCCCCTGCAGGGGAATATGTCTTTCCAATGCAGCCTTGATGAACTCTTTTGGTGTGGCTTTCAGTGCTTCATTATTACTAGTCTGTAGAGCTTCAACAGGTGCGTATTGCCTGCTTCTGTTTCTTGCTAGAAGGGTTGCGTCGTACGGCCCGCTATGATGGTACGACTGACCAAATGCAGATCTGTCGAGCGAATCAATGGTGTCAGCACCAGGGATGTGCATTTTTTTGAGATGGGGAGAGCGATTCGCGGCCTTCGTCTCTTTGCGTAATAAGTCTAGTGGCCGATGGGACATATCACCTGGAAACCTTTCACAAAGCGAGCCTACGTTAATGAAATGTGTTAGCAATCTCAAATTTGCACCTAAATTCCTGTTTCCTTTAGACTACTAGTGAGATTCTCCATGGTGGTTCGATTCTAGGAGTAGTACTTACTACATCTTCTCCTAGACTTGGTATTGGCAGCTTGCTCGTTGTTATCTCTTTGACTTGACTGTCGATATGGAAGTGATTGCGTGAAAGAGGACACAGTTGGGCTCGCTGAAGCTGGCGGTATTGGGTAGTGATAATAAGTTGGCTTCATGGAGATGCTTGATGCGCGTCCCCTATGAGCAGAAGATACACTCGCCATGGCTAGATGAGTGATTCTGTTGCCGGTGGTTCGAGGAGTAGAGAACGGGAGCCAAGGGTACGGGTCAGGGGAGGAGGGGGATTAGTTTTCGAAAGTATCAATGCCAACGAAAGTGTTAAGTCGATCGGGTCGGAATAATTGTGACGATTGAATGAGACACTCGAATGCCCGAGATTAAGGGCCCTAATAACATATGAGGATGAGCACAAGAAGCAATGTGAGAAGATATCGGGCGCCTCACACCGTTGTTTGTAGATGCCCTTCCCCGCCCCCCATAAAAATAACATTACTCAGCAAGGTGGCGCAGCGCACGGTGTTTATGCATCGCTCACGTTGGAGGCGGATTTAGAGATGTGACGGCGGGAACAACTAGACAAGCCAGCAGTCTGCCCTGCGACAGAATTTGACTGGGGGTACCGTGGACCCGGATCGCTGCAAAAGGAGCTCATGCATCGTCTTCTGCACAAGTCGAGGGCGAAGACACCCGAACTCACGGTCGGCCTCTCCATTTAGCCAATTCTGCCCCCACACACTGGGTCGACCAGACTGCTGGGAGGCCCTGCAACATCCTGCACATCATAGGAGCGCCCATCGGCTATGTCTATCACTTCCTGATTAGTCTTCTCCAGGCCTCGTGGCAGCGCCTCGGCAGCCAGCTGATGGCTAGACAGCTTCACTTCTAAATCTACGGAACCCATTGGTCATTACTTCCGCCCTCGTGCTCACTCTAAACTACATCTCCGCCAGTCATTTGCAGGAAGTTACATTGGGAATTGCTGAGAAATGCCATGGATGTAGCTATATCTTGGTAAATATAACGACTCTGTACTGATACCGTGGGAGTTGGTAACTATTCGTCAAAACGCTGTCGTGTCGGATATGGATAATAATCTTACCTCTAATTCCTTCTCATTTCCACCAGATCGAGGAAATTGTATCCGAGGACTGACCTGTTTCGGTACCATGGAACTCCTTCGTTTACCCGCCCCAAAGTTCAAGGCCTAATCTATCGTTATCATTCGGCTCGCCGCTTCATACGTTACTCTCGCGAGCTATAATTTAGAGGTTGGTGTTAGTAGAAGGAGGGTTTAATAATTGCTATTTTTGTTTAAGATAGTTGAATTCCCGGAGTCCTGAATGTTGATCACTAGCCGATACCGAATTACAAGGCGTTATAATAACTCGAGTCACGGTTCCGACATTATCCTTAATTATATTCTGCAATGTGGCCTTAAGCTGCTCTTGTGATTGATAGCCGGTAAATCGAGTGCTGCGGTAGACCCTAACCTAGTTGAAATTATATTTGGTAAGCTAATGCGTCTTAGAAACGTCAGCCAGTCGGATAATATTATGGCTAACATGATCCACAGGCTGTTGGCTTGCTGGTCTCAGTGTGTGTCAACGCAATCCCTCAACTTGTGCTATAGTATAATGAGGACTTGGATGCCGCTGAGTTCAGGAATTAATTTAGTCAACAAAATTAGGAGTTGGTGATGGGCCCTCAAAACGGACGCTACTGCCCTGAGCCAACTTTGCTCATTATTTTCACACTATCTATCAGTATGTGACCCTCAGTGATCATTGGAACATATCGATCAGATCAGATTGATTCAGTAGTATTGAATCTTAAAACATGAAGGATCGCCCTGGCAGTCCTTCGAAGCCAGACTCAGCAGGGACTTCGATTCTATTCTACTCCACACATTCTTTATTTTACAATTGTAAAAGACGAGTGTGAGAAGAATTGAAGCCCCATCAAAAATATCGACCTCAAATTCAACATACGTGTGTCTACCAATAAAGGCGCTTCTACATAATCAAAAGTTTTCCTTCATCTAAAATTATGTCAGCAGCCGGTCCAACAGATTCAAGTTTTTAGTACTGCAAGAATCAAGGAATTATTAACTCGCTATAGATCTCGTGGATATAGATCCCCCGGTTTCCAACTTTTCATCAAAACCTTTTCCAGCCAAACGAAACGGCGTTCTTACGAAAAGACCGAGGAACCAAAGTCACGTCATCCTCGAATCAACACATACCTAGCTTTTGTGATAATAATCCATTGCTGATGCTGTGTTGTGCATACGTGCGCACAAAATTCTTTATTTAGATTAAATTTGTACTATGGCCTCTACAGAGTCGGGAACTATGATATCACTCCTGAATCAATATCAAAGACTAGTTATGTGTAATAAATTTGTAATCGTTTCACTCCGTCCTCTACTTTCTTCGAAGTCATAGCAGTTTAAGGTTGACAGCCAGCTTTTGTAATTTATCTCTCGCTTCACGCCATGCATCGTTGTTTGACTGGAAAAGAGACAATTAGACATCAATTGAGCTTTGGAATTTATTGTGCTGATTGAGTATAACTATCCCGCATACTAAACTTCTCTCTAGCCCAAGCCACATCGAGGACAGCGCTCCAATCCTCTACAGTTACGAAAAAGATATCTGATGTTTTGCCCGGGATGAATAGCCATTCATCTCAGCGCTTACCCGTGGAATTCAGCCACCTTTTCCATGGAAACTTCTACCCAAAAAAATGGTAGCAACGGAAACTGCGTGCGCGGGAAAAAGTCTCAAAAAACCTACAGCTCCAGCCAGGCGAAGCCTAGACATCGAGACCAGATGAGGTGCGCATATTCATCTATATTTACCTTCTTTATAACAGAAGTGGCCGACATCATCCAATCCACTATCGCCGTATCGGGTGCTGGGTACGCTTCAGAAACTCATCGGATGGCTTTTCCTCCATGATCAAGGGTTGGTGATGAGAAGGACTCCGACGCTACCATCTGATCTGATGGTGGTTGGCTTCATAATGTTGGTGATGGGGTGGTGTGTTGAGAGATGAAGACTCTGTAGATCGTGAGACTGGTTGGGGATGATGCGATTTTTCTTGGCTTTCTTAAACGTTGAAGAATACTGAGTGCTTACATAAGCACTACTAGAAGTTGAAGAATTCTAGATAGTTATTCATTACGAGCATCATATAAATTTCGCTCCGAAATGAGATTGGAGCACTATACAAGGCATAGACCAGGTCAGAGAGGAGCCTGTTGTGCCAGAAAATCATAAAATCAAGCGTCAAAATAAACACCAAAAACAGAGTAAATTTTTATAAGTTCGAGGCCAGCGCTGAGGTTATTTGGAACGTATTTTGGTCCAATTTGGCATAAACAGATGCACGAAAGAATAAATATTACATATACATGAGGCCAATAATAGAAATTGGAGAAGAGAAAATTTCCCCAATGATAATTAGCCTGAATTTTGTGGCGCGCCTAGCATGTGAAACAAAGCTCTCCGCCCGGCTGAGAAGTTACACCCATTTGGATTGCCACTTACGTCAGCCTACACATTTCTGATGCTGTGCAAAAGCCCTTCACTTGCAATTTCCGGTTACAGGGCTGAAACAATAGCTGACTTGCTAGGCCGCATCAGCCGTGCAGACGGTCTTGGGTGTCTGGTAGACTCGACCGTAGTTCGGCGGATCTGTTGTGGCGATAAGAGTATGATCAAGTTATTAGACTAGATTTTATTATAGTCCTACCTGAGTCCATGACCATAGAGGACTTCTAGATCCAACATGAAAGAAACTAGTTATATTTAACAAATTCAACCATGATAACTCTCAATATTTTCTTGTAGATAGTGAGGAAAATGATCAAATCATTCTTTGATTCCAAAACAGCAACTTCTCACAAATATTAACCTACTGGCCTTCAAACTTGATTACAGTGTCCAGGTATTAATAGTGTCGCAAAAAAATTGTGTAGTCTGCACGAGCTACGGAAACTTTAGTGTCGCATGGTAATATACACGTGTACGCACATGTAATAGGTCGCTCGATGATATGATGATTCTTCTTCCTCTTCTTACATACAGGCGTGTTTTTTTATGTTAATGTCCTAAGCTAAAGCTCTAGGTCCACTATAGGTACAAGACTGGTGAAGCCGATGGGGATCACTGCTTATAGGCCCAACTCATTCCAACCGCTGGACTCGCTACCAAAATAGTAGGGAGTAAATTGCGACGCAGAAGACACCACCTACTCCAACTCCTAGATCAAAAATCACTCCTTTTCCCCCTAAATCCGATTAGCTACAATCTTTCCTCAGAGAAACGACACTTCTCGCCTCGATCCCTTTCGTGTCATGCACAGTGGCAATTACTAGTTTATCTGATCTCCACTGAGAGCAGTCGATGAGTGGGCAGGTCGTCTATCAAAACAGCCGGTTGCCTGCGGAAAGTTTTTGAAGCTTTCGTGGCATTTGGGTCCGAGAAGCTTTTTGACAAAGTCAGTGTGGGACATTGACTTTCTGAGCCTATGCGTGTATTGTGCGTGGCGGCTACAGTAGATGAAGTGGGTTGGAGAAGTTTCCTTCCCGCAAGAGCACTCCAAAGGAGCGTATGGATTGTCGAAACGGCGATGATATGCCGCAAAATTGCCGTGACCCGTTCATGCTGCGATTAGTGCCCGGAGGAGGTGCCTAGAGAGAGACGGTTCGGGTGGTTTGCGAGTCCGCACCTGAAGGTTAAGTTGGCGGTATTGAGGCGGACAGGCCTCTTCCCGCCAGTTGTCGAGCATTCTCTGTCGTCTGCGATTCATGAGGCCTCGAAGATGTGCCAGAGTACATGGCTCTAGTGGTGTATCCTGGCTAGGTAGCTCTCGAAGGGCGGCACGGGGAATAGTGTCTGCCTCTTCTTTCCCTTGTATCCCTGCATGCGCTGGCACCCGTTTTATCAATACTTTTGCCACGTTACTTAATGCACGGAAGCTGCGTACATCTTCAAGGCTAGTTGAGGACGAGCCCGTCGTTAGTGCGCTCACAGCCTGCTGGCTCTATAGAAACACGTGGATTTGCTGCAATCTCCCTACTCTCCTGGACTTTTCGATGTCCAAGAACTCCAGCGCGGCCTCCAGAGCCTTCTTTGCTCCTATTGTCTCTGCATTCAGCACCTCTCCCCCGTGCTTGATACCACTTCCTTTGCCTATGAGTTTCACATCCTTTTTCAGAACGAAACCCCAGGCGGAGCGTCCGTGTGCTTCTGATGAGCCATCCGAGTATGCGCATATGTCCGTTCCTGGCACGTCGCTAATCCTTCTAACACAATCTTCGCGTTCCACCGACTTTGAGCCATACAGGCGTGTTTGTTTGTTTTGTATTTAACGTCTATATAAAAACGGGCCTATGCTCGTCTTATCTACAACCCAATTTGGTAGGAGGATAAGACTAAACACCTGTCAGTGGTGCCCTCTACGAACCTGGGAGTGAAATATTCTCCCAGAGCCAAGTTCAGTCAAATTTCGCAATACCGAAAAAGTTGGCCCACGAGACAACAATTCAAACAACCCTACCACGTCGTTTTTTTCACTCCCAAAGAGTCCGATTCCTACCAAAGCCTCATTAAGTCTACAAGTACGACCTATTACATCCTCATTCCAATGATCACACCTCTCGCCGACTTTCTTTGGCCTCAGCCGGTCACCAAATACACGCCCACGCCGATATTTACACCCGACGGAAGAAGCAAAGCGTGGCACACAAATCTGGGAGATAGTTCTTTGGGATGGACGTGAGAGGATTGAGGACAAGTTCACAAGATGATGCGAAGGATAGATACAATCTCGACGGGCGTGTGATTATGGCAAGGAGTTTTTACAAATTGAGCTTTGTGCGTGCCAAGACTTCGCTTGCGAGAGTGCAGGCGACACTCTAAACACTGCCATGGTTGGATGGTGCGGTGGTACATCGTCTTGGCCGATCTGCCAAGTAGAGTCTGGATAGCTTGGACACATGTCCTACTTGAGATAGAAGATCGCCGGTTCGAATCCGGCAAAACACAACCTCATTTCTCGCGTCGCTGGTGTGCATGGATGACGAAGGCATGCTTGGATAACCAAAGGTTTTGAAATTCCCTTTGGAGGGTACTTACGGAGGAGGGTTGACTGTTTGTGTAAGCGAACATACCTCATAGTGGTATTTGCGAATGAAGTCCAGAGTATGAGTGTCTCTAATGTCAAAAGAGTCACCCAACATGTATTCATAGCACCGGTCATGTGTCATAGCTCCATAGCTGAATACACTTAAATGTTTAAAAAAAAACCCCCCCCCCCCAATTTGGTAAAAGACGCTAAGGCTAACTGCCTCAGTTGTCGGAGGGCTACGACTCCCTAACCAAGGGAGGTGAGACCTGATTAAGAATTAAAGAGATTATCCGATGTCTAAGATACGATAATGATAAATGATGGAAAAGATATATACGGGAAAAATATAAAAATATCAAAAATCCCTTTAGTGTGAACGCAATACCCAGAAATGAGAGGGCAAGTAAGCACGAATTAAAGTGGTACAAA